ACTCTTTGATTTCAAAGTAACCCACAACCCCATTCTGGCTTTTGAGGCCGGTATAGTAGGCTTCGTTAATGCCAGGTTTTGATGACTCAGCTGAGGTGTCGTATCTCCACAAGCACAACATCGGCGGCACCGGCGAGTTGCAGTCGAGACAGTCTGCGCGGTTACAGTCACGACAGTCTGTGTGAGTTTGATGGTTTCGAATGCTACCCTCTCTCCAATAGGGAAAGCGAAAGCTGTCAGGCAGGTGTATGACAGGGGCCTCAAGGGGGTGGCTTTGCGAATGGCAAGAAAACAATCGCCGACGTCCCCCCATATGCTTGTTCCTTTGCTTTTGACCCCTGCCCGCCTTTCTTCAGCCTCCACATCTTTGTGGCTTGTAGGTGCCTAGTGTTGTCGCGCTTTTTCTGGCGCTTCCAGTTTTCTTGTCCAGGACCAAGAGTTTCAATTCTTGCCACACAAGGCTTTGTGGGAGTTCCCAGTCACGCCAAGGAGCCATCCCCAGATTATCTCTCTCGTTCCTGTTCACTTGCTGGCCCATAGTTTAGACTGCCCCTATATAAAGGCCGCCAAATAAATTGATGCAAACTATAGTGAGCTGCGGGTAAGACGATTTCACGAACGAAGGTGCCTTGCTCATGTCTCGCTACATTCAGATTGAGATTCATAGTATTAGTTTTGAGTGCAGACAAGCGTGTATGTGTATACTAGATATATATATATATATTATACACATGGAAGTGATTTGTTTGAGGGGTCTGTAACAGAGCCGTGGCGGACGTTCGCTACAGACCTCGTTAGAGACCTCTGTAACAAGACCCGCTGGCTCGTTACACGCCCCTCGTTACACACACCGCACATGAACAAAATCTCATTACATCCCCTGACACATGCCCATAACTTGCAGAGAGCTTACCATTCACAAGAAAAGTTGGACCCGTGGCAGGAAGAAAAACCTCCTCCTGCCCTATACCTCGTTAGCAACCGCAATCACATACCTCGATACAGACCCAACCCCAGCCCCCCCCCTTTTTTGCAATCGCTTGGCTTGCTTTGAACAGTTGCAAATTGCAAGCTGGAGATTGTGCTACTGTAATTTCCGCATTTGGCACTACATAAATCGTGCAGACTCATTGTTTTGATCTTTCCAGACCCCCGCCCCCAACCCCACATGTTTGACAAGGAGGCCCTGTTTCTTGCAACCCGGAGCCTTTTTCGTGACCTCAATGTTGCCTTTGGGTTCATGGGCACAAAAACAGGCTACAGGGGTCGGACAAGAACAAAGCTCTTTGTTCATTGAGTTTGCCAGGGCACAGGGACATCTCCCTGGAGAATCTGTTGCTCCACCAGGACACAGTCAGGCCAAGCAGCGCGAATTCAACCCGGCAAGCTTCGCGACTGGCGTGTCTTGTTCGACGGGGTTACCAATTTGGACTGGTTTTGAGGGGACCCGTTCGTTTAGCCCATGTTGCCTCTTGTGGTTTTCTCATGATGGCAAGGAGGTCCAAGGACTGGTTCGGGCTGGGCAGAACAAAGGGTCTGGATTTCAATACTAGCTCTAGGGAGCGGTGCAAAAGAGAAACATGGGGGGGGGCGCATTTACAGAGGTTCCGCAAGCAAAACTGGCAGGATGGGTGAAGATGGGACCGGATCGGCAGTTGACCATGAATTCAAAGTAGACATCACAAAGCCCGCACGTACATTGTTTATCATCCTTTTACTAAGTGGCATGATAATCGGCTGTGATTTTCATCAGGTAAACACTCAAACACGGCACTTGCAAGTGGACATAAATCCAACCGTGTATTTATGCTGTCCACAAAACTGTCCAGGTTCAGTTGTCATTCATACGCAGCTGTATCATGTTGTATCTAAGCGCCGGGGCACAAGATTAGCAGCGGGACAGGCCCCTTGCCATGAATGCGTGCGGACTTCTGCTCTTTTTTGTTCTTTAAATTTGGGTAGACTCCTTTCATACGCAGGTCTTGAGTATGTCTCAATGGGATTCTTGCGGGATGGTCCCAACCCGGGCCGAAACTGCGAAGGCCTTCTCGTTCCCGGTGATTTTCCGCTTGTTGAAAAGCCAGGCTGATGGATTATGGGAATGCCGTCCAGAGTGCTGGCCTGAGAAGCTGTCTGAGACTGCTTGCTCGCAGGAGAGTCCTGACTTAAGAGAGCCTACCACCAAGAGTTTAGGGCTTAAGCTTCAGGGCCAACAAGACCAAATCAGCTTGACGGTTGGGGGCATAGGTTCGTGGAGTCCCTGGTTATGCATCAGGTTTCTCAGGGAACAACCTGAGCCTCAAAGCTTTCGAAAGCTTGGGGGAAGGGCTTCAACCGTCCAAGTCTTTGCTTTGATTGTGCATCCAAAATGTCGCCGTGCTATCTTCGTGGCGTCATTGCGGAGACCTAGAGCTTGCAAATGTTGTTTGTTTGGTAGAGTTGATGCCTTTAACCTTTGCGACGTTCACCCGATGATTCAGAGTCCGCATAAATGGAGCAACGAAATCCACAGTCGAGGTAATTACCAATGATTTCCGCCTTCAAGTGACGAAGTTGTCATCTGGGAATTCGGCCAACCGCCATCACACAGACACACCACTTGGGTTTCAGATTGGTGGAAAGTTGTATAACACGCAAAATGGATCGCAACTGAGAACAGTGACAAATGAGACAATCCCGATGTTTATGTCTACGGATGGGTCAGGGATGCTGCAAAGTGAACTCCAAGAGCTAGGGGCTGAGTTTTAAGAACTCGAGTGAAAGGCCAGCTAGGGCCAACCAAGGCCTTGGGTGTCTTTGGCAGTGTGCAAGGAGCAATGCCACGTCGAGGCTTCTGTGGCTTGGGGCCGGCGTAAAATCCCTTGAACATGAACCTTCGTTCCAATGTGGGCATGTCTCATGTCTTTTGCGATTTTTCCGCATGGCCCGTCTCCGCTGCGCTCGGGCCGTTTTTCCAAGGCCACTCAATGACTGGCCAAGAACTGCGGTACTTCCTACCCGCCGCAGCCTCACGGTCACTTTGGTTTGGAAAATTTTGAATCCATGGTGCCACCTTTTGGAGAAAAATGGGGAACTCACGGACACACACACACACACACACCAGCAGGGTACTTATTGATTTTCACATGTGCTTTGCGGGGAACAATCAAGTTTGGCCGTGCCTCAAACGAGGTTCCGTCAACGTATTTTTGTGAGCGGACAATAGAACCATTATGTGCAAGCTAGACATGGGAGCAAGACCCACTGTCCCTCGGGTCAGTGGCTGGGTAGTGGTTGGGTGGTGGAAACCGTCTTCTTCTGGGAGACGCAGAGGCGCATCAGAAGCATGAAGTCGCACGTGTTGTGTTGCATCATCAACCGCCAGTGCCTTTTGGCATTTTTGAACCTCGACGTACTAGTGGTTGCCCTAAGTCGTGCGGCGACCAAAAGTCGTGGCGGGCTGCGTGCCGCCAATGTATTGCATCTTTTTGCGCAGTTAGGTTTGGCTTAATATTTTCATCATAGTGTGATTTCACTGCGTGCCCGCGTGCTGTTCGAACTTTCGAGTGTCGTTTTGGGTCGAGGCCTGTTATGACCATTTTGTTGGTGTGCCCTTGTGTTTGCGCTCAATCCTTGTCGTGTGTTTGTTTTGGGGACGTTGTCCTGAGCAGGCGTCCCCATTGCGAAGCACATGATCCAGTGGAGGGATGTTCTGAGCATGTGGTTGCTGTCCCGTTGTTGTTTCCGCCCAACTGGCGCTGCCTTTGCTTTGGGGAAGTCGTCCTGATCGGGTGCCCCTATGCAGTTTTGTTACCCAACTCGTGCTCCTGCGCTTGCGGGTAGAGGCATGTTCTGACCACTTGGTTGGTTTTGTTTTCTCTTGCTTGCTTGCTTGCTTGCTTGCTTGCTTGCTTGCTTGCTTGCTTGCTTGCTTGCTTGCTTGCTTGCTTGCTTGCTTGCTTGCTTGCTTGCTTGCTTGCTTGCTTGCTTGCTTGCTTGCTTGCTTGCTTGCTTGCTTGCTTGCTTGCTTGCTTGCTTGCTTGCTTGCTTGCTTGCTTGCTTGCTTGCTTGCTTGCTTGCTTGCTTGCTTGCTTGCTTGCTTGCTTGCTTGCTTGCTTGCTTGCTTGCTTGCTTGCTTGCTTGCTTGCTTGCTTGCTTGCTTGCTTGCTTGCTTGCTTGCTTGCTTGCTTGCTTGCGCTTGCTTTTGCTTGCTTGTGCTTGCTTTTGCTTGCTTGTGCTTGCTTTTGCTTGCTTGCTTGCTTGCTTGTTTGCTTGATTGCTTGCTTGCTTGTTTGCTTGATTGCTTGCGTGCTTGCTTGCTTGCTTGCTTGTTTGCTTGTGCGGCCAACTATGGACCTCGCCTGGACCTGGCCTGGACCTCGCCTGGAGCTCGCCTGGACCTCGCCTAAAAGCCATGTTCAAGATATATGTTCAACAAAACTTTTTGATGACTGGGAGCTAGGGTGTCTTTTCACTAAGGGGATGACTAGTAGAGAAGCAGAAGTGACACATCTTTAAGGGTTTGTTCCAAGGGTCTGGTGGCATAAGAAACTGCATTTTGAACTATCACACGCATGGTTTTGAAGGTTTCAGACATTCCAATGTTGCACTTTGACATGCGATGTGCCATGCGGATTTGCACCACGTGCTCTGACTTGTGGCATGCAGAAACTGCATTGTGAACCATCAATCGTATGGTTTTGAAGGCTTCGGACATTCCAATGTTGCACTTTGACATGCGATGCGCCATGCGGATTTGCACCACGTGCTCTGACTTTCGGCGCCCTGGCGTGACTTTCGGTTTTATGCGTGCCCCATGCGCGGCTGGGGTGCCTGCAGTGACTTCCGGTCCCCTGCTCTGACTTAGGGCGGGCGCCAAGTAGTGAACTTTCATTGTTAATTACTTTTTCCGGGTGAATGGAGATAGAATATGTTTCTCCAGCCATCTCGGACAATTTCGACATGAGGGGCCTTCTTTAGCTGGCGTTCACCTCGCCAAGCAAGCTTATCAACATATACCAACCCTTTTCGGGAGCTTCGGGAAACAACACATTGTCAGCGCTCGTGGTTTCAACCATTGGCTTAGACCGTGGTTTACACAAGTTGCATCGCCCAGTCCCCGGATCGAGAGGGCGCGCTCGCTGTTTTCGCTGAGGTTGGGAAGGACACGTACAGGGCGCCCGAGTGCTTCATTCCCCTTGGCCAGTCTGTGGCCACGGCCCGGGATGCCAAGTCCGATGCGAGCACTCAACACCCCCGTGGGCCAATTTTGCAGGTTCCACTGCCTGGTTTAATAGGGGCCATCTTGGTAGAAATAGAGTCCAGGAGTTTGGGGAGCTGCTCATGTGTACTACTTGTTTTTGAAGGATATAGATTTGGTCTAGTTAAGAATCCATTGATCTAGAGGATCCCTTTGTAAAGCAGGCGTTGAATGGAATCGCGTGGGTTTGCCTTGGTTTTCCATTTTTTTTTAAACCACCCTTCAAAAGCCCACAAACGAGCTTCGCTCAAGCGAGCTTCGCCAAATTCGCCGAAGCACCACTTGCTCGCCGGAAGGGGATCTCCTTGTGCTCTCCGTTGGCTGTAAACTTGGGGACCCCTACGGTTCTATGTCCTGTTTGATGGCACTGTTTTGTTTGGTTCTACTCATTTACCAGTTCCATGGTTTTTCGCTGCTGGGCTTTCCTTTCAAAACTTATCTCAAAAGGGGGCCCTGATTGTGAAACAATCCCAAATGGGAATGTGTCTCAGGATCCTATGATATGATTGTCTGAATCAGCAGCTCATGCATTGCAACAAAGTACCTCGGTTTGAGTCCTTTGCGGAAATGACACATGGAATCCTGATAGGGCTTGTTCATGCATCCTTATGAACCTACCATTTGGGGACGCTAATACATGTCATGGCATAGATATTCTGCCGTGCTGAGGGGCTTTGGCGGGTCCATTTTTTGGGCGCTGGGCTGGAGGCAACGCCGAAAGAAGTCGAAGCAGCATTCAAAGCAGCCAACTTTTGAAGACACCTTAACTGAATATACACCTCCCTTCCCAGAGCCCTCCATCCCATGGAAGGGAAACAAGAGGTTAATCAAACACTCGGCATGCGCTGTGCCCCTCGTTGGCACCGAGAGCAACGCCCATTTGCTATACCGATGGACTGAGTCAGAATGGGTGGACAGCACACAGTTTCAGGCATGAAGCAATTGGCTCGATCTCTGTCATGGAAGGGGTCGAGCCCTGTTTAACTGTTTGGGGGGATTTGCTGCAACAATGGACCCCCCCTTCTGCCAACCATGGCCAAAAATGCATTTCCCAGGTCAGATGCCAAGACAGTGACGCTTTCTCGCAGAATCTTGAAAACCAACCCATGGGCCAACAGTTGCACTCCCCGGCAGATTCACACCGAACCCAAGAAAAAAACGTTGACATTTAGAGGAATCTCTCCTACGAGTACTATAGTTTGGTCAACGTTCAATCCCTTCTTGGCCACAACATCCCAAACCACTAGGAAAACCTTCACAGGGGTTCATGGGAGTTGACCACACTTGGCTGAAGCAAATGCAAATCGGCCCAAGCATTAGCCAAACTTCCAACCGCCGCTGTCTTTTAACAACATTCACTCCACAAGCGACGCGGCACGCTGCTGCTCGAGCTGTAGCTTATGCTCGACTTTGATCATTGCCCGTTGCGGGGGGGCTTCCACTCGGCACACGTTCTTGCCTTGTGGGGCGCCTACGTCGCCCTGTCTATTGAGTGTTTACCCGCTCGTGTGGTGTCTTTGTTTTCGAGGGTGGTTGGACATGATGTTGGTGGCTTCGGCTCGGAGCGTCCGGATGGGCCTTGGGCACCGTGGTCTGGCAACACTCACAAAGTTCAGATTAGGTTACGCGAGCCGTTGGGATGCTTTGGCTTTACTACCGCAGCGTGCACGCCCTCGTGCTCTTGCAAGGCCTTTGAGTGGTTCCTTCCTTTTTTTGGGATGTGGCTTTTGCTCTTTTGCGCGCCACATTGACACCCCAAGAGTGGATGATTGGTGAGCTGTTTTCCGGTTTCCTTCTCTGTCCACTGCCCCACGGTCTGGAGCCGTACAGTGTCTACTTCTTGCATAACATCATCCCATCATCCTTCACGGATTTTCAAACAGGGGGTGGCGCAACTCTGCCAACGTTCCGCTAGGCTCCTTGATGCCACGTAGGCAATCGAAACTCAAGATGGCCAAACCCCGTCTCTCCTGCAGATAAGCGTGGACACCGCTTTTGGGCACCTCCGGTTTTATCATTTTGGGGACCACGAGAAGCTGAGTGGAAGTACGGTGACGCGTGCGGCTAGCTGTTCGACTTGACTCGTGAGTCACGAGGTCACCGTGCCACCGGACGCTGGCGCGGGTGACCTCATTCTGCACAGGAACTACCATTCCCTTTACCAGGCGCGCCGCTCCGAACCTCATTTCTGCAACTGGAGGTTTCTCAAAATGGTTTCCCCTTTTTGGATGGTTTTAATTGAAAGTAGTTCCCGATTGGTGAGGGCTCCGATTTCTGGTTTTCTTTTTTTCACCATGTGATGATCGGGGGGTCGTCCGGGGAACAACACTTGGGGAAGCCTCGCCCAAAAGCTTGATACCCAGATTCAGGTGGCTTCGTGTTTTTTTGGAAGGTATCCTTTTTCACCTTGGCCTAAAGGGAAACCAGGATCTTCATTCTGAGGGTCCCTCTAACTGTCACATACCCAGATGGTTGAGGGTCGCTTTTTATAGCCCCCCAAGGTCGGGTATCTCATTGGAAGGCAGAAAACTGGAAATTATCCGGCGCCTGGCAGTTGCCATTCAAGTGTAGCACTGGTTTGGAGCTAGCCACAAGTTCTGCTTTGGGCATATTTGTAAAACTGGTTTGTAGCTACAGGCGGTATATAGTGCTGTGTGTATTGCTTGGATCAATGTTTTGCGCACTTGCAGCACTACTGGAGTTATTGCGAAAATACTCGACAATGCATTTGTCGTATTGCTTGTGTGGTACTAGCTTTGTCCTAGAACATGTGGCAGTGTTTGTTCCAGCACTTGTCGTAGTACTTGTAGAAGCCCTTGCGGTTGCACACGTTTTTCTGTTTGTTGGAGGGGCGCACCAGCGAGACGCGAGGTACGTCTGCCGGGCGGTGCGAAACCGGGCCAGGCGCTCGAAAGTCAGGACGCACGTCGGCTGCGTCTGCTCATAGTGGAAACCCAGGACCTCCAGTTCTGCTCGTTTTATTTTATCTCTCTTTTTGGATGGGCTTCCTTTTCAGATTAAACTACCAACAAAACGTACCTCGTTTCCCCATGCCCACTGGAGGTCTGGCAGTTCGGAGGCCGCTAGGGGGATGGAAAACAAGCCCGGCTGATCTGCGCAAATCTGTTGGTCAGAGCCGAGTTCTGGTCCAAATCCACAGCCCCCGCGAGCTTTCTTCCAATACGAGTTATGCCGATTTGAAGCGGCTCATTTCAGGCATCATGAGGCAGACAAGGATTGGTCATGGGGACCTGACCTGCGGGCCGCCTTTGTTCAGACCGGCCTTGACTTGCTAACCTGGTTGCATGATATACAATATTTTGCGTCACGGTCTGGTTTTGGCTTTCCTTTGAAATTCAATCTTGGGGACCCCCTCAGCAAGGCCCCATGCCCAATGCTTTGGAATTGCGAACTCTAAGGTTCACTACATATGGCCCAGAATCAGCATACTTTTGGGGCCACCACCGATCATGTAAAGTTTAACTTGCTGGTTCTCAGCAGGGAATGAGGGAATGCCCCCTACAAACCATCCCCTCTGGTTTCCTTCCGTTTCACTCCCCATTTCCCGGTCTCGGTCATTCGGACCTATTGCACCAGCAGCACTCTGAGGCCAAGATTGCCAGGCGGAGCTCTGGGGCCCGAAGGCCCAGGTGACACGCTCCGGAGGTGTGATGTGCTTCATGATATTTTTGTGTATTTTTCTGGGAGTGCCACTTTGGGCGGTGGGTTGATTTGTTGTTTGTCTGGTGGTTGTGCGTCAGTGTTTTTTGTTGGGGGGGTTCTTGGCCGGACTTGGGTCTTGTGCTTTGGGTCCTCTTTGGCTTCCGCAGCCACCTAGTGGCTTGCCAAATGCTTCTTGTAATCCACAGGTGCCCTTTTTTCCCCATTGTCATCGGGCTTCTGAGCTTCCAAAAGCAGGGTTCTTCCCGACAGTTTGAGGGTTATATATTATATATAGGACACCTTGCCAGCCTCTTAAAGAAACAGGCGCGCAAGGAGGGCCTGCCAGAGTCGAGATGCATTGCATTTGGATAGCTCAACCATGGACGGGCATCTATAGCAGTTCAAGCAAATCGATGCAAACGACACATTGGAGATAGCCTGACTACGTCTTGCAATTTTACTTGGGAAGACGTGGAACATGCGACTGGTGAAGAACCTTGAGGAGCAACTCTAAACATGCACACTTGCTGGTTAAGCCTTGAACGCCTTATTGCGGATGCTTTGCAATAGCCGCGTTTTACTCCTCATGCCTTCTTTGGACCACCTTGGGACTGGCGTAATTTCAGTATTTCCCGCTGGGATCCTTGGTTTCGGGTGCATGTTAGATTGGTTGCATGGCCTTTCTCGGATGCGTAGTTCAATCATAAAACCACGGTGAACCCGCTTAACACGAGGATGTCAATTCTTGTCGGGACTACTCAGGATACGCAGTGCAGCCGGCTGATGTATTCTCATGTGGCCGCTCACTCAGAACCCAGATGCGTATGGCATATCAGCAGGCTGCAATGAGAGTGCTCTACTTGCGTGAAGAGTGTGCCTTGTTTCTGTGTTTGTTTGTTAGCCTGCTTATCTTGCTTGTTGTGTTGGTTTGTTTGCTTGCTTGTTTTGTTTGGCTGGTTGGTTGTCTGTCTGTTTGTTTTGCTTGTTTGTTTTTTTGCTTGTTTGCTTGCTTGCTTGCTAGCTTCATTTTTGGTCTGTTTGTTTTGTTTTATCGGCTGGTTGGCGGGCGGGCGGGTGGGTAGCTGTTGGTTTGCTTCC